TAAGGAGGACTCACCTGTTTGTAGGCTCAGTGTCATTTCCCACAGCACACTGCTTGAATTGCACACCAGGATCTGGGAAGGAAAGAGGAGGAGAAAAGGTGAGTCCCTGTCTTTCTTTTCTCATTCAGTTTCTCTTTTTTAAAGGCACTTTACTGAAAATAAAAGCTTTTTTACATATATATATTACAGCTACACGTCTATATGCCTCTCTCATTTCAGACAGTTTGTGCAGAAAGCTGCATGGAATAATTGAGCTTTGCACCTTTCAGAATTGCTGCCACTAAATTTCTTAAACGCCTCTTTTTTTTTTTTTTTCTTTTTAAAATGAGGATTTAAAAATTCAGAAACAAAACAAACATTTCCCTACCTGAAGCTTCCTGGTAATCAAAATTGTAGAGGATTTCCCAAACCTGAGTTCTGACACAAACATCCACTAGGGTTTTTGTACATCCTCGTGTTCCTTTCTAGCGTTGTCCTGTGCACAGAGAATTCTAACCAAGTGTGGGGTCAATTGGGCTGTTTGTAAACGAACAGGCAGGGGTGAGGTGGCCCCTGAGGTTTGCAAAGGAATCAAAGAGCACAGAACTCCCAGCTCTGGTTGCCTTGGCAGACAAGACCCAGACGGGAGGAGCGAGCTGCTGCCTCTGTGACCCACTGACCTGTGGTACCAACCTTAAAACAATCCCAAAAACCTGAACCGTGCTTCTGCTTGGCCCGAGGAAGGGCTGGAGTGGGAAGCAGAGCCATCAGCTCTGTTCCCTGCCGGCCACTAAGGGGAGCTGCTTCTTGGCAAATCCCGCTGTGTGATCCAGGGGTTCCAAACCCCCCAAAACTGGTCGTGCTCGTTGTGTTACAACCACCGTGTGCTGCACAAATCCTGATTTCAACTTTGCTTTTGTCCTCCAGGGCGAATAACTGCATTGGATTTTCTAACTACAAATTCTTTCTACTGTTCTTAGCCTATTCTTTGTTGTATTGCTTGTATATTGCTGCAACAGTCTTCAAGTATTTCATTAAGTATTGGACAGTAAGTCACGAAATCCGGTTACTTTTTCATCTCCTGTCAGTCTCGTGGGCTTTAGTGACTCTCGGTGCTTTGTTGCTCTCAGGCAGTGGAGGGGCTGCATTTTCCTGGAAGGTGTTTCCTGGGCCCTTTGGGAGCTCACCTCCTGTTAGATGTCCAAAATGCACGAAGCACGAAGCAAGTAGGCTTCAGGAATTTCAGACTAGATTATCTTCTGGCAGAGAAGTTCTATCCCTTGCCTGTCTTTGTGTTTGCATGGGTGTCCCTTGGAAAGTTTGGCATTGATGTGTAAGATGCTGGCAATGATTTGTTACATATTGACAGAAAAGAAAAAAGCAGGTCTAACAACCTTGTTCATTTTCTAACCCCCATAGGCCTCCTTTTTTCCATTTAAAAACTGACTGACCCAAAGGAGGCTTTCCTGCAGCTCCCGGGGTCTGTCCCGGAGCGCGCCGTGCGGGCAGGGCCGTGTCACGACGTGCCCGCCCGGTGCCGGTCCCGCCCCCGCGCTGCGCTCCCGCCGCGGGGCTGAGCGGCGGCCCCGGCCGCCAATGGAGCGCGGGCGGCGGCCGCGCTTCCCCCGCCCCGGCGGCGCGCACGGGGGCGCGGCCCCGGCGCATGGAGGCGATGCCCTGCCAGAACCAGCGCCTCGGCCCGCGGCCGCAGGATGAGCCGCCGACAGCCGCCAGCACGGCCACGGCGAGCGGCGGATCCCGGCTGATCCGCTTCGCCGAGCCCAGCGAGGACAGCGGCTGTCCCAGCCCGGACAGCAGCAGCAGCAGCAGCAACGGGGTGGTGGCGGCGCCGGCGCCGGTGCCCGCCGGGGAGGACGGCGCGCTGGCCATCGGGCCGCAGCTGAAGCTGCTGCCCATGAACGACCAGCTGCGGGAGCTGCAGACCATCATCAGGGACAAGTGAGCGCGCCGGGCCGGGCAGCCTGGGGTGGGGAGGAGCCGCGGCGGGCTGGGGAGACGGAGGGGGAATCATCGCCCGTCGCTCACTCCATCCATCCCTCTCCCAGGGAGCCGCAGCCTCGCCGAGCCGCTCTCAGCCGGCGGGGTCTCGGCTCGGCCGGGCTGTCCCCGCCAGGCCCGGGGGCCGAGGCCGGGGCCGGCGGGACGCGCTGCCGTGCCGCGTGTGCCGGGTTGAACGGCCGGGCCGGTGGCGCGGCCTTGTCTGGTGACGCGGGCCCGAGGGCAGGGCCGGGCCGGGCAGTGCCCGCCCCAGGCCGGGCAGCGCTCCCGGGGGTCCTGCCCGGCTCCGCGGGGCTGCCGGGCACCGGGACAGCGGCTCGGCGGCTCTTTAAACCCCTCACGGATTTGGACCGTCACCCTGGATGGGGATTTTTGGTCACCTTCGCCCTGCGGGTGGCTCGGAGCTTGCGTGCCACATCATCAGTGCAAGGAGCGTGCGGTACCATGGTGTGTAAAGCTCTAGGGAAAGGAGGCTGTACCTTATGGTCCCGCGGGCGGGCCCAGCAGCAGCTGGGGCTCGTTACCTCTCCCTGCAGATCGCACCCCGCAGGCAGCACGGGCGGGGAGCCCTTCCCAGGCTCTGACTGCAGACAGCTGAGAGCTCCATGTTCCACAGCGCAGCTCAGGTGTTGAGCACGTCCCTCCCACTGGCCGCGTTTGAAGCCGTGCTTGTTCAGCATTGGGATAGTGGTAGTGGAAAGCATTAAGTAGAGCATGCAACATAAGACAAGATTCAGTAGCATCCATCTAGCTATTAAAAACTGCTGGATTTGCAAGAACCAGCGAAGAGGTGTGAAATCAAGCCTATCAATAGAGTGATTAGGTTCTAAATAAAACCCTCTTTCTCTGACACAGTGGCTTTCTGACATCTGCAGTAAGTCACTGCAGAGACACTGTTCCTTGCTGCGTTTCACATCTGCAGATGCATAGTCCATGTTTTGCTGTTTTCTGGCTCTTGAGGCTTAATTTTGTAGCTGACAGTAATTCATTTCTTATGCAAAACTGACCACCGTTTCTCTAAGACAACACTTCCATTAATTTTATTAACCTAGCTAAGCCTCCTTATCTTAAACTAGTTTGTGGAGGGGTTTTCCTTAGTTTTCAAAGCATTGTGGGAAAAACAAAACCTGGCAACAGGAGCACCAGAAGCAGTGCAGTCTTGATGTGTGGAGGGCACATAGAAGATCTCTGCAGGTGAGAACACCCAGCTGGCAGCTTCTCTGAGGAGCAGAAAAGGAAACTGGGAATGGGCTAAGCAGAGACAGAGAGAGAGGGAATCCAAACCAGGCTTGGTGATGGCCTGTGAAAGGTTTTGTGGTTAGTGAAAACCATACAGTTTTGATATCTAGACAAATACTAGCAGTGTAATTACTTAGGGGTTTTATTATTATTAATCTGTTGTACACAGGTTTTGACCTCTTTCAAACACATTTAAGAGGTTTCTGGCTACAGTGAGCTTATCCAGAAAGCAGTAGCTGTGATTTTAACTTGAAGGCCATTTTTTAGAATTACATCAGCTTTATTGCACAAGACTTTGGTAAGAGGAAGTCTAGAATAGGACTTGTAAACAGTGAATTACTCAGAGCAGCTGCAGCAGTCGCAGACTGTATTTTATTCTGAGTGTGATGTTGCCCTGGAAGTGGAGATGGAACTGTCACTTTCAAAATCCCTTCCCAACCAGTGAGGAAAATCGGGCAGAAGTCTGCTCAGAAAGGTTGGCTTTTGTAGGTGAGGACAGTAGGGAAACATTTTTGTGTTCTGTCCCAAGAATTCAGCTGCATTTCATTAAGAGACCTCAGACTGGCCTGTTATAGTGCTTGTCATTCAGAATGATGCTGAAGGGAGAAGAGGATTTTTTTAGGCACTGTTCATTAACCTTTCCCTGGGCAGCTGCAATCTGCCTTAAGACAACTCTCTAGCTACTGTAGCATTCAAACCAGGTGCTAAAAGAAACTCTTCCTCCTCAGAACCTGTTTGTGAACTGGCAGCAACGTGGCTCAGAGCAGCTACTGGTCAAAAATCCAATTTAAGCTGATAGAGGGATATGTTCACATACAGTGCTTGGGAAGAAGGAGAAGTTGTCATGTACAGGCAATTAGAGCTCTGTCACTTCGACTTTCTGGATTAAAAAAGAACAGGTAACACCTTACAGAGAATATTTAGATTTTTAATGCTGCAGAGGATGAATGTTCCAAATACAACAGTACCTGAAAATGGCAGACATTAAAAGGCAAGCTCCTGGAGAGTGAGGAATGGAACAAAAGCAGGGAAAAAAACAATTTGGGGCTATTACCATAAGTGAGGAAAGGGTAAATACTCAGATAATCACAGTGAACTGGGATGGAGCTAAGAATGGTCAGGCCAGCTGCAGAAGGGACTCTCTTTTGTCCATAGCATGAGCTGCTCAGAGAAGTGGAAAGCTCTTTCCTTGTTCCTGAGAGGATTCAGAGAAAGAAATCATGGCCTTTCAACTGGTATTATTGTAAAGAGAAACCCACCTTCATGTGGCTGGTCATGGGATTCAGAGGTGCCTGGCTTGGTCAGGGATATCCTGGTAAGACTAAAATAGTACTTTTGCTTCCTTAAAATTAACAAGAACTTGGTCCGTGTGCCAGTCAGGGAGATGGATAGATCACCTCAACTCTGTCTGGATTTCCTCATTTTCCCTCAGGCTTGTCACTTTTCTGCTCAGCAAATGCTTAATGGGGGCAGGTGCCTTTTATAGTGAGTGGGATATGAACCTCAAGTGCTCTAATGGGATGTGAGCTGATGCAGTACTGAACATTCTGGAACAGTCTCTTTACAAGGAGGGAATGATCTCAAGGTAATTTCTAGCCTCACAGATGAGAACCAGGGATCTGGAAGCTGAAATGAGGAGTGCAGTGACGTGTTTATGTAGAAGCAAATTCATTAGCTCAGGTTGGCAGTGTGATTTTAACTCATGATTTAACAAGAGATACGATTTAAATCCAGATACTTTAAGGTTCTTGTGTCTGTTGGGTGAGATCATTCTGTGTATTCTGCTAAAGCTTCTTATTCCCTAAGGAACAGAGTGATAACATAGAAATGCAGATGGCAGAGTGGTTGGATGTGCAGTCCTGGCTGTTGCACAGAGCAGGGGACTCAGGAGTGTGTCACTCACCTGTGCAGGCAGGAAGGGTGGGATCCCTCTGCATCCCAGCCCTGGCATGGAAACAATTGAGGGCTGCAGTCCATTAAGTACTGAAGTGCTGCAGGGAGAACGTGGACCTGTTCCCAGCTACATCATCTCCCTGAATGCCAACAGCTCGTCCAGCCTTCAGTTTTCTTAAAAACCTTTTACTAATCCCATGTAGGGAAGTGGCTTTTTTCCAGCCTGGCCTTCACCCTGGGTGTCTCTCAGCAAGTTCTGTGAAGTAATGAGAGAAACAGGAATTAGTGAAGCCTCCATAGCTGCAGACCTGACAGTGTTTGTCACTGGTACCAAGTGCTAAAGCAGGAAAAAACCCTGCAGCTACTTTGTATTACACTACAGTCCAAAAAAACCCCTTTCTTCTCACCTCCTGAGACAAACACTGTGACATCAGCCACACTCTCCTGCCTTCAGAAACAAAATGAAATTCATTTATCTTGTGTAACACAATGTTCCTGTTACAAGTTAGGTTTTAATGCCTCATATTTGTAGTGTTGTCTTGTTCTTTGATGAAGCAGCTGAAACAGTTTCTAATATGACATGAATCATTACTCTATGTATTTCTATCTGGTATTTAAGGAGAACAGTTACAGTGTTTTCACATAAGCCCTTTGTTTTTTTTTCTGCCCCTGGCAATTCTGACAGGATGTGGGGTTTGAGATGTGGTCACAGCTTTCCAGCTGCCCCTGTACACGAGGTCTGACATTTTCTATATTATTGTTATTTGTATGCACTGTGGTTTTCTGTTGCCCTCTGCTTCTCATAAACCAGGTATGGCCAATGAAGTTCAATGAACTGTGCAGAGGAACATATGTCCTTCTGCAAGCACAGAGGACTTGGTTTAAAGCCTCATAATTTGCATTAATAACTCAGAGTGTTCACTCTAAACACTTTATTTATCACTTTGCAGTCAAAACTGTGGTCTGGACATTGTTGGGTCTGTCTTAGACCTATTTATGAAATTCATCTAAATTTTCTGAAATGCCAGTCTGGAAGAACCTAGATATGCCACTTAGCTACTTCCTTCTTTTAGAAACACTTATCTATACTGCAGGTAGAAGCAGGAAACTTTCTAAAACCTTAATATATCAGGTCATATAATTGTCTGGATTTGGGGTTGGGTTGTTGGTTTTTTTGTTTTTTGTTTTTTTTCAGTTTTAGGCTCTTTATGAGCATTGCCTGTCTAGTTAATGTCAAAATAGCAGAAAGTTTGGAATTTCCTGTCGTTACCAGAAAGAAGGAAAAAATAAAAGCAAGCAGTATTTTAACAGTGTGTTATTAGGAAAGAAACTAGATTAAGTTAATGCTCTTCTAAAGCCTCTCTTTTAAAATGGGGAATAAATGACTGGTTCCCAGGCAATGAGCAGGCAAACCTTTTGACTTTCATTCATGTAAGCATGAGGTGTCTCAGGATGTTGGGGATTAAATACAAAATGGTATTTAAGGAGACATGCAGAGTATCAGGGTTTGAAAACATGAGAGGGATTAACAGAACATTTCATTTAAAAGTACCTCTTACTGTATTGGTGCTGTTTCTGAGGGTTTTCAAGGCTGCTGTCCTGTGAGTGTTGGCTCCTTGATCAGAAATGTCCTGTTCTGGTGTAGTGAGAGTTGCTCTTGGCATGGGAAGCAAAGTGTTAAAGCTGCTTCTAAAATTCAGGCTTTTAACCTTTTATTTTGCCTTCTGAAGGGCCAGAAGCCACACAGGCACCTGAGCAAAAGGTTGTACCCAAACTAATAAGAGGCAGAGAGAAGTTTTCACGGGAATGCTCATTAATCCCTGCTCAGTTTAAGCTCACATTCACTGATCTAATCACACTCAGTGAGTTCCAGATAAGACAGGATCTATCTGCTGCTTATCAGGTGTGTTGTCAGCCCTGGGTTCAGGATCTGCATGATCATTGTGCCACGGTTTCTGACTGACTGCAGGACAGGCAAGCAAAGCTCATTTGCTCTCAGAGCTGCAGGGAATGCAGGAATATTTGAGCTCAGGAGGTGTTTTGGAAGTGAGCTGGAACAGCAGTACCATGGGAACCCTACAGAACATCATCCTCTGGTGTTTGATTGCTACTGGCACAGAGCAGCAGCATTGCCAAACCCCGGAGCTGGGTCACTGCATCTCTGCCACCAACCAGGAAACCCACGGTGCAGAGTCTCTGGGATAAATTTAGTATGCCATAGGAGACTTTTCTCTGAACTACCTTGGAATATAGTATTTAAAGTTGTATTTAAACAATGTTTTTAAAGCAATTCCCCAATTTAAAATGTAAATTATTACCTTTTTCAGGAAATCCAGTAGAGGAGACTTCGTATTTTCTGCTGATCGTCTGGTAGGTGAAGAGTTTCTTCTTGACATTGTACTTTGCAACTCTTCCATAAAATGAGTCTTTCAGAACAGAAGAATGGTGGTGTGACAGCAACTTTTTTACCCAAAAGACATTGCTGTGTGACAACAACTTTCTGTATAGGGACTTCTGTTCACTGTTTCATCTCAGTGGGTTCCAGAAACCATGGTTTTACCAGACACAGCTACTTGAGGACAGAGACCTGTAGTAATAAGAGAATTCTGTTCAAAACCAGATGCACAGAGGGTGCAGATAATTGAGTTTTATTTTAAAGCAGTACTTTTGATCTTGTGAACAGAGCAGTACAATTTCTTACAGCTTAGATGTTACCAGTTGCTTGCATGCAGAAGTGCCTCCTGGCACTTGCTGTGTGTTAGATTAGTAGCTCTGGGTGCATCCACATGGAGAATTTGTCTTTAGCCATATGGTGGTTACTGGCAGGGACAAAGCAATTTGGAGTTTTCACATGTTTTAGTAAGTCAGAACAAAGACTGCTGGGAGTGCAGCCTTTATCTCATTTAAATTACAAGCTTAAAGAAAACCCCAGCACTTGCTACCACACACACTTGTGTCCACAAGGGTGTTTGCTTTCTGCAAATCCACTCTCATTAACAGAAGGAAGTGTTTTTCCCCTTGCAGCATAGTGCACAGCCCATTCACAGTTAGAGCCACAGCAGGCAGGTTTCCTGTGATGAGCCCAATCTTAATCCAGGCTTGCTCAGGTTTAGATGTAGCCACAACCTAAGATTGTGACTGCAGTGTTCTTTATCTTCATGGTTTTCCATTTCCCCCCTCTACTTTCCCCTTCTTGAGGATGTTTCCTACATTTCAGTGCCTTATTGTCAATAATTAGTGTGAAGAACCTTTTTCCAAGTACCTTGTCACCTTTGTTGGGTGTCCTGCCCTGTTCTGAGGCAAACACTGATTTTTTTTTTTTCTCCCTCTCATTGCTGGACACTGCAGATCCAGGCAGTGAGTTCAGGTCCTTGCACCAGTGTCTTCTATGGGCTGGCCAGCACAGCCAGAGAGCCTCTGTGTGCTCATCCTGCTGCTCTGTTTTCCATTTTGTAGGAGGAATTTTGCACAAAAGAATATGTAGGACTCTCATTTTCTGAATATTTTTCCTAGGTGTGACAAAGAATAGTTATAATTCCATATGGGATTTGGTCTCTACTGAACTTGGCAAGATGCAAACAGTTAGGGCTTGCCATGTTCTCCACCCAGAGAGCAAACAGAGTTTAATGGCAAGAGGCAATACATGAATAAAAGTGTGGGATTATAGGGGAAGAAAATATACCTTGTTGCAGTGAGAAAATGAGAATGAAGTTTGCTCCTACCTTGGCAGCTGTTAGGAGCAATGGCTCTTAAGATCACCAGGGCAAGAGGTCTTAAGGAGGGATTCTAAAGGTGATGAATTTCTGGTGGTGCAGCCTTTTCTTCTGGCAATTTGTTTCACACATAGGGGATGACACAAAGGAAATGTTTGAAGATACTTGTGAGAAAAAGGAGATAATGGGCGGTGGAGGTTGGCAGGAAGTGTCTGAAAGCCACTGCCAGGGTTGTGATCCTGAAGCTGAAAGAATTGAGGTTAAAGGCATGAGAAGGAAGGACCAAAACAAACCTGTGTGGTGTTGGTGAAGGAGGAGGCAGCCCCTGGCATGGGAGACACTCAGTCCTTATGGCTGGTGGTGGTGGAACTGGGGACAGCTGGAACTCAGGGCAGCTGGTGGGAAGGGCACAGAGCTCCCCTCTGCACAGGAGGCTCCCCCTGATCCCTGCACCCACACACTGGAGGCACTGAACTGCTGTCACAAGTGCTGGTGCTTTGCAGCAGGAAACACATTTTTGGGGGGATGATTGAAGGCCTGAGGTGGAGCCATGAATTAATTTCTCAGCCCTGCCAGAAGCTCCCTGAGTAACAGTGACCAGGTCACTTCACCTTTCTGCCCACCTGCCTCTTTCAGGGGGTGAGCATTCATACAGCTGCAAGGAGCTGTACAGATACAGAGGCTGCTCTGCCTCCTCTTGAGCTTCCAAGGAAGGCCACACATAATGGGTTAGAGGATTTTCTGGTCAGACTCTTCTACCTTGGAACCAAAGCTCTACTTCCTGTTTCATATGGGGCTGTAATAAAACTGGTTTTATCTTCTAAGCAATGGCAGCCACCTCTCTGGGAGAGGAGCAGCTGGTTCTTGAGGCACAAGAGAAAAGAGGAGGAAATTAATCCCTGAGTGTGGCAGAAAGCACAGGGCAAAAATAAATGTTTACAAAGAATCCTTCCAGCCTCTGTGTAAAACACTGATAAGTGTAGGGAGATCACAGAGATTATTTGACCATAAGACCTTCACTGGATTACTCTAAATTTTTGGCAGATTATGTGGAGCAATATCAGCATTACACCAAGATGAAAAAAAGCTTTTCTTCTAAACCTGGCAAATAGGTTGGCTTTTTTTTTTTTTCAGTGAATTAAGTTCAAAAACATAAAATAAAATTGGGTACAAATGTCCCAGAAACTGATCATAACTTCTGAATATGGTTGCCACAAACACAGTTCTAGGAAGAAAAAGTTGTACTAAAATGACTAAAAATACCTTGAAAGAGAGATTATAAATGTAAGGGACCATTTTTAGTAGAGGCTGCTTGTGTGCCAGGAACTGGAGCAGAATGGAAGGACAGGAAAAACCTTCCAGGCTGCCCTGTTTCTGGAATAAGAACTGCCTGAGGTGAGCAGTACACCTACTCCATCCCAGGAGCATTGCCTCACTTCTGCCATCCCACAGTGAATTTTGAATAATCAGTGATTTTTTAGTTAAAGCTCTTGCTTGGCAGTAGCTTTCCTTGAGCAGTTCTGCCTGTGAATCCTTGGCTCATGAACAGAGAGAATTCTCACATCTTTAATACCCAGAGCATCCTTCAGGACAATCATTCTGGGTGCAGATGGATGTGTTTTGTACTTTGCAGGGCAGCACCAGGGGAGGGCTGGGGGCTCCTGAGCTGCCCCTCCACCTGCACCATCCAAAAGTGCAGGGATTGGCAGAGCTCCACATGGAAACCAGAGCTGGCACAAGCTGGGAGGTGAAGGTGATAAAGAGATTCCTACACCTGCTGACTTGTCTTTGGGCACTGGTGATGTGTGTGCATTGCTGCAGCTTCTGGGGCTGTTCTGGCAGCCCAGCTGCAGTTTAGTCCTAGAAACAGGGATGTGAAAACAGAGCCTGGCTGAGGGGGAGCTTTCCCTTTCCCTCACCAGGATTTCCTGTCAGCAAATAAAGTTGCATTGATGCCTCACTCATCTGTTGAGAATAATTTCTCTCTGAAGCCTCTGCCTGCCAGGTGTAAATAAAGTCAGTTTTATGGTTGCTTATGAGCCCCTCTCATCTCCCAATTTTGTTTTGCAATGCCTTTGTTTGATTTGTGGCCAAAACATAGGTGTCACCCCCAAATTCACCCACTCTAAATCCAGTCCCTAATTGCTGTTAAAGAGACCCTTTGGGCTCACCCTGTCCTTGTAACTATTACTGCCATGTAGTTCCTTATCTCCAGAGATCACAATCCCTTTAAGCTGACCCATCTCTTTGGTTCCACAGATCAGACTCGTGGTTGAAGAGGGATTGAATCAACTGCCCTACACAGAATGTACTGTGACCACTCCAACAGGTATGTGGGAAATCACCCTGGCCTGCTAGGACTGGAAGTGGAACTGATACCAAAATACAGAAAATTCTTATAAGAGTTACAGAATATCCTGAGGTGGAAGGGACTCAAGAGAATCATTGAGTCCAACTCAGCTTCTCAGAGAACTGCCTAAAACTGAATCTTGCAACATCCAGATGGTCTTTGAACTCTGACAGACTTGGTGCCACAAGCACTTCCCTGGGGAGCTCTGAGCAGGGAGTGAGTGTCCCTGCTGGTTTAAAAAGCTACAAGGCACCTAGCAACACAACTGAGCAAAACAGTCAACATTGTCATTTCACTAAGGATTAAATTGGTCTTGCAAAACCACGATGAAAATGTACCAGTGCATGTGCAAGATCAGTTCACCTGCCCACACCACAGCCTTGAATTAAAACTGATGATATTTCACATGCCCAGTAAGGAAAAACTACTTGGCACAAGCAGCTTTGCCTTGCCAGCCTAAGCCTGGCCCTGCAACTGGGGCCAGTAGGCGTGAGGATGAGCAGGAAATGAAAAGTGGCTGTGTTAGCACTAGAGAAAATCATTGCAGAAGTTGTGGTTCTTCCTGTCACTGTAAAGATCTGTAAGATCTTTACAGATACTCAGGTGTGCAGTACTCAGGGCCAGCTGCTGAGTGCATCAGCAGGCTGGGGGGAGCTGCTCAGCTCCCTGGTGTGACCCGCAGCACACCTGTGACAGCACCTGAGTCCTGTTCCCCTGAGAACTGCACTTGCATTGCTGCAGAGAGACACTCCCACTCTGCAGTAAAGCATTGGTGTGGCTTTACTTACACTTAGAGAAATAATGGACTGCAAACCCTCAACTGTGGAACCACACACAGAGTTCAGACACCCAGCCAGGAGGCACCATCCCTTACCTGGGTTTACTTCTGCAGCTGCTTCACCTCTTGAGCATTGGTGTCACATCTGTTCCCATCAGTCAGTGACAGATCCAGGACCATCTCTGTTCAGAGAGGGCAGAAGGGAGCAGCCACTGCCACTGAGCCCTGGTTTCTTTCCTCCCAGGACACAAGTATGAAGGAGTCCGGTTTGAAAAGGGAAACTGCGGGGTCAGCATCATGAGAAGTGGTAGGTGGTGCTGGCTGCTTTGGAAACCTGTAAGCAACTTCCTTTCAAAAACGTGTAACAATAGGTTTACCCAAGTTCTTTCTTAGGTATCCTTGATAGCAGAATGTCCAGGAATATCTCCCATTAACCCTTAAGGACACAAATGGCTGAACAGATCTCCTGTGGCCTCTTCCCTGGCAGCTGTTCCCTGTGAGGGGCCAGGTGCCCTCCCCTGTTTGTGCCCAGAGCCAGGGCCCAGCCCAGCCACGCTCCGTGGGGGCAGAGTCCCTGTCACTGCCCAGTGCTGGGCAAACCTTTGGATCTGTGCTGTCAAACCCACACTCTGTCACGAGGATGTCCCCAAACCCCATTCTGCCCATTCTGACCTTTCCAGCTGTCTCCTGTGAGAGCTCAGCACAGCTGGGAACACCAAACCCAGGGGCTGGGCAGCACCGAGGAGACTCGGTGTGCTGTAAACAGAGGAAAAAGGGCGAGAGCTTCAAGGCTTTAATGCTTAGAATTGTTCACCAGCACAGGGGTGAGACTGTCCATTTGGGACTGTCCCTTTTGGGAACTGTTCCTTTGAGGACTGTCATTTGGGGACTGTCCCTTTGGGCACTGTCATTTGGGCACTGTCCCTTTGAGGACTGTCCTTGTGGGGACTGTCCCTTTTGGGCACTGTCCCTTTGGGCACTGTCCCCTCCCTGCAGCCCCTTGTCCCCAGCCCTCTCTCAGTGTCCCCATGTGCTGCTGTGTGTGTGCTGCTCCCTGCAGGGGAGGCCATGGAGCAGGGCCTGCGGGACTGCTGCAGATCCATCCGCATCGGGAAAATCCTGATCCAGAGCGACGAGGAGACGCAGCGAGCCAAGGTGTACTACGCCAAGTTCCCCCCAGACATCTACAGGAGGAAAGTGCTGCTCATGTACCCGATCCTGAGTGAGTGGCTGCCAGCAGCACGGACAGCCAGACTCCTCTGAACCTGAGTGCTGGCACTGAAAGAAAACTCCCACAGGCAGGGGCTTTGATTGGGTTTTCTGCTTGGTTTAGGTGGCAGAGGAGGGGATTGATCAGGACACACATTACTCAGATGCACCCGTGTGAATGCAGAGCAAATCATTTGGACATGGTTGCATTTGGGAGAAAGGCTGAGGTTAAGATAGGATAGAAATTTAATGATACGAATTTTGCCATGGGAAAAACACTCAAACAGTGTTTTTCTTATTGTGAGACATTTCTAGATTAATATTATAAGGAATTGGTTGGGATGAGGTTACTTGTCCACTCCAAGTTCTGCCATTAGGAGACCAACAAGGAGTTTATGCAGAGGTGATGCCTTTCCAGTGGGAAAGGACAGAATCACCGTTCAGTCACACCAGCTGTACCACAGGTATTCTCAGACAGCTTAGGACAAGTTCATCAGCCAGGGCAAAACCCCTAAGCCCTCTCCCCCTCCCTGCCCTCTCAGGTACTGGGAACACGGTGATCGAGGCTGTCAAAGTGCTGGTGGAACACGGGGTCCAGCCCAGCGTCATCATCCTGCTCAGCCTCTTCTCCACCCCTCATGGTGAGTGGGAGGGGCACAGCTGTGTCTGCTGGGGACAGTGACATCAGTCACACCTGGGACAGGCAGGACAGAGCTGTGCCTCTGCCATGGCAGCATCGCTTTGCTCAGAGCAGGTTTGGGGTTTTTTGCCTGAATTGTAAAACTCAGAGACCAGCACCGTGTTTGGTGTGGGCAGTGAGGAGGGGATTGAATGACAAAACTGCATCTGGGAGGGTGTTCCAGAAAGCAGGAGTTTGCAGCACTGCCAGGTCCATGGCTCACAGAGCAGTGCCAGGCCAGCTGCTGTTCTGGGCCATGGAATGGAGGGGGTTGGTCCAGCACCAGAATAACACCAGGAGTGGGAGCTGAATGGAGCTACACAACTGGCCTGGCTGCAAGTTAAAGGTAAAAGGGGATCTAAATGGGGAACATTTGTTTCTCTGGGAGGAAAGAGGATCTTGTGTGGTGTATTAGAAATTGGCCATGGCAGAACTCACTATCAAAAAGCTCAGCTGAACTGCAGAGCAGCCTGTAACCACTTCAGTTGGGAATATGTGTGTATGGGAAAGGCAATTCCAAACAAGAAAACCCCAAAAGAGCAATCCCTTAAAATCAGGCAGTTTTCCTCATCCATGGTTAGCCAAGGCAGGAACAGGAAGAAGAGACAGAAGCACAGAGCCTGACTTACTTTTGGAATGCTGCTGATCACAATTTGATGGGCTGAAGCACTGTAGTCATTATTCCCTTTGCTGTCTCTTCCAAGGTGCCAAATCCATCATCCAGGAATTCCCAGAAATCACCATTTTAACTACAGAAGTGCATCCTGTTGCACCAACACACTTTGGACAGAAGTACTTTGGGACAGACTGACAGTCTTGGAACAACTGGATACGACTCTATGGCATTACAAGAGGTTTTTTTACATTTTATTACTGTTGAGTTGGTCGAGGGCATGTTTAAAAACCTTTTTGGCCAACTAACTTAGGGTAGTGCTGGCCTGAACAGGGATCAGGTACAATGACAAAGCACTCTGGTTACACGGTCAAGCATCTCCATGTTGGGGCTCTCTAATTGCCACACTCTGCTTTAACCTATTTATTCTTCTCCAGCCTGTCCGTGGCCACCTGCAAGAGCAAAATAAACCCAACTAAACCCCAAGGGAGTGTCCTTCATTTCTAGGGTCACTTGGCATCACTCCAGCTACAGCCACACCCAGTGTTTCCAAATCTCAGGGTGCACTTGGACCTCAGTGTCCTCCTGAGCAGCCACGTGGAGTTTTGGTCTTTGGCAGGTGGCCAAGAGCCAAAGAGACAACTGGAATTTTTTTCTGCAAACATTCTCAAGTAGTGAAACACCCCTGCTTGTCTTGCTCAAGGGCCCTGAATCATTCCAGATTCCTGTTGCAGCACAGGTGCAAACTGGGTAAGGAGTTGGGGGTGGGGGCAGCACTGCCTGTGGAAATTCTACACATACAGAACTTGAGAGTTCTAAGAGGCAAAACTTGTGGTTGGATCAGTCTCATCAACCCTTTAAATGACAGGAAAACTGCAGCAAAAAGCTGGAACTCGATTTCTAGTCCTGTTCACAGAGCAGCAGAGCCAGAAGACAAGCATGGCCCTCAGGGCTCAGCAGCCTTTCCAAACCCTCAGGGCCCTCATTGTTTGAGTCATTAAACATCAATCTGCAGCCAAATCCCTTCTTTCTTTAAATCCTCTGGCATCAAATACACCATACCCAGCTGGCCAGTACCTCCCCTTGCTGTAACTTCGGGGAACTCCATAAATACAATATAAACCCCTATTATTTTAAAATATATCCGTATGCTACAAATGCAGGATTAGGGAATGTTGTCTCCAGCAGTGTCCTTACCTCTCATCAGGTGAGTGGAGTGCTGAGGTCTGGACTGCCCCCACCAATGAGTCTTTTTATCACAGATAACCTTCCCTGTTCCAAGCAGTAATTCCAATTAATTAAAGTTGTGTAACACTTCCAGAGAGGCAATGTTTAGCCTGAGCATAGGAAATAACCATTCACAAGTCTAATGAATTAGCCAAAAATGGTTTTAATGCAGTCCTTGCCTGCAGTGCAGTATAAACCATAATAAAAAACAACAAAGCAGAACATACAGGATATTCAGCTGTAGAAACTGTACAAACACCTGGAAAATGAAACTCCACAGAGCATCAGCATAGTCAGAACATTGGTCCAACAGTAAAAACAAGTACCCAAAGCTTTTGTAAAAACTCATTTGATATCAAAAGTCTCAATGCCAGCAGCAGCAGCATTAAATTCCTGAACACGACGCCCCAAAGGTGGGCAGCAATCCCAGTGTGACATTCCTTGGAAAATAATTACTTCCCCCTGAATTAGGGGGAAGGGATGTGTATTAAGCCACCAGTTCTGACTGGAACAACTGCCAGCCCCAGGCCATGCTGGGTTCCTAAAAAGCAGCTGGATGCAGTTACAAACCACTCCAGGGGATTGCTGAATTTCCCAATTCTGTCAGCTCCATCCATCAGGAATGGCAGAGGGATGTCCCAAAGGACCCCCCTGACCCACAGCAGCCCCTGCAGGGGGGGTTCTGCTCCAGCCCCATTTTCCAGCATGTGAAATTCCCTGGCTTTTGTGGGAGGAAGTTAAAGCCTCCTGATACACTGACAACACCACTTTGCCATTCTCTGACCCTGAGATTAAGCTCAGTTCGGTCTTTGAGGGACTCATTTGCACCACAAGCAGCATTTTCAGATGAGGAGCAGCCATCTGGGCAGGCAGATGATAAATTTATAAAATAACAAGACCTTTCCTACTTCCTGTGTTCCTAACCCAAAGTTCCCTGCTCCAACAATGGATTTGGAATCACTCTGGAGCAGCTCTGAGTTCAGCAGAAGCCACTCCATAATGTGGTTAATTCCAAAGGATGGAGTTAAATCAGGTTCCACCTCCTCCCCCCAGCTCTCAGCCACAGCCTTGTCCCTCCTCCCTGCAGGGAAGGTCACCTGCAGCAGTTCATGACATCAGCAGCATTCCAGGGAGTTCGGGGACACATCCTGGAGGCTCCCGGATCCTCCAGAAAAAGGTTGGGAGGGGAGGGGGAGGGAAATAACGCACCAACACTTTCACTTCGGGCTTCTGTTTCTCTTAGAGGGAAGTGCTGAGAAGGGGCTGCACACACCTTCCCCAGGCTAGAAAGGAGAGGGGGAGGCCGATTGTGTTGGGTTTCAGGCTTCCCGTGGGATTTAGTCCAAGGTTTAACTCCAGGAAGTGAAACAGCAGGGAAGCTGTCAGGTCAGGTACCTGTGTGCTCCAAGGGCTGTCTGACACCAGCACTGGAAGCAAGCAGGCATTTATTTTTAGTCACTGCTGGTATAAGAAGCAGAGATGATCCTTTTGTCCTTTTTGCTGGATTTTTTTTGGGTTGTGGTTTTTCCCCCCCCTTAACATATTTTTTTTAAACAATGGCTGTTACTCACTAAAGTTTTACAAATGCTGCTGTAAATCTTAAAACCTCATACAGAAAAAAAATAATATTTTAAGGAGCATGCAGGCATGAGCAACTTACAGGCTTGTATTTGAAATGTAAACTTACATTTTATTTCACAAGGTTTACATCCCAAATGGAAGCTGGAGAATGAAGAAATGAGGCTTTTAAGAAAGAGAAAATTCAGGAAGTGAGATCCTGCTCAAAGCAAAGCCAGCTGGGCCTGATGATGGGAACCACAAACCAATACCTGACAAACAGAGAGATTAATTACAAATAAAATACATGGCACAACTGCATAAAATGACACCTACTCACCTTCACAGTACCCAAAAAACCAGCACAAGCAGCTCAAAGCTGAAAATATTTAACTGTATGTTCAGGAGGAAGAGGGAAGACTCAAAGTGGGATGCAAAGAGGACAAGAGACTAAAACCCAGCAGTGGGTGAGCTCAGTGTCTGTGACCAGGGCAGGGGAAGCAGCACTAGGCAGGAAGAGCCCATGGCAGAGCAGGCTGGGAATGAAAACAGCCCCTCTGCCAGGCAAACACCTTCAGTCATCTGTTCAGAATGAGTTTAGGTTTGCAAGTGTTCTGTAATGGAACAGAAGCTGATAGAATTGGAGAAATAGCAGTAAAATTGAGGTATTTTCAAGTACTATGGATCCATTTCAGAAATCTGTACCACAGGAGTCACCGAAATTGAAACGTGACCCTTTTGAGTTAATTAATTCTGGCTTAGTAAACAAGGTCAGCAGTGGCTCCTTCCCCTGCTAATTAAACCCTTCCATGACTGCACCAGCTTTGCACAGAGTAACTGCTCAGCAGAGTAACTGCACAGAGTAACTGCTCAGCACATCATTCTTCATAGCTAAATTCAGGGAAAAAAATTGTAATTTAAGAATTTTTTCCCCTTGACATTTTACATTCATATCATATTACAGACTTTGTGCATCAAGTTGTGCTTTCAGTCCAGATCAGCATCTAGAACTCCAGAGCTGCAGCTGGTGTGGATTTTGCTGAATCCATTCCTGTTTGTCCCAGGAAGCAAACATTCATTGCATAGAACGATTTGGAAGCTTCCTGATTCTCACCAGTGACTGCACCCCACTCACACTGGATACCTCCAACATGCTCCATGCTTGAAGGAAAACAAGATCATCCTACTCCAAAAATTTCCAACTCAGCAAGAAAAACCTGGCAGTGCAGTGAGGGTTGCACAAGTCCTGGTTCCTTGGGCAGGACTCAGTGGCCCAGGACTGGACTGAGGACAATTCCACACAGAGAAACATCAGTGTGATGCTCTGTCTGGGTTTTTGTACCTGAATGTAAATGGGAGAGAAGGGGGAGAGGTGAGGAGGTGGCTGTTAGTGGTCAGTTATTTCAGAGGATGAATCCAGGAGTAGAGGGATAACGACAGAGGCATCACAGTAAAGTCCAACAAAAGTGGTCCTTCCTTTCCCACAGTGACATCCCTTGGAAAAGTTGCTCAGAGCTGAGAAAGCTGTGGTGTAGATCCAATGCTAAGCAGAGAAAACAGCCCCTGGAGGGGTTGGGACAGTTCCCTTGCTGCCTCCACACTGCTCCAGGCTGGAGTGGAACACCTTCAGCAACCCCTACAGTCACACAGCTGACATCAGCACCAGAACTGAGACTCGAACATGAACAATTCTCCAGGTTCTCTGCACAGAACTGCCTCTACAGCACACACCCAGAGAGGGACAGGGAGCACTGGTGGCAGCCACAGTGGGAACACTTGGGCTGCTCCTGGCACACAGAGGGCTCAGGGTGTCCTGCAGTGCTCGGACACCAGCACAGGCAGTGTGACACACACAGGATGAACTGGGATCACTGGGCAGCTCCCAGAGCTGCAGTACTCTGGATGAATTCCACTCCTGGAATTCTGGGATGGAGGGTGCAGGCAGGGGAGGTGGGGGAGAGGTTTGAGGATACAGCCCTTACAGTCAGTGATGATGGTGGAGAGCCTCTGGATGAGGATCAGGGCATGGAAAACAAAGGAGATGCTGCAGTGGCTTACCCCTGAAAAGCCATTTACAGGTAAAAAAAAAAAGTACCACACATTGGGCTGAATATTGTCTTTTGTCACCTGCAGCAGTGACCACAGCAGCCTGAGGAACTTCTGTTTTCCAGTGCATTTACTCAGCAGAAAAAGGACAAAGGCCAGGAGTAAAATAAGGATATCACCTTAAGTGAGCAGAAGGGAACAAAATGGAGCTGCCCACTCAGACATGTGGGTTTTTCCTATTTTGTTCTACCTCATCTTACACAACTTTTGGGTTTGTTTCACGTTTCATGAAGCATCTGATGTGTGGATATTGAGAAGTGGCTCTGAAGTGATAAACTTTGTACTGTTTTGACCTGGACAAGAGTTTGTTACAGCCATGGGAGGCTGAGCTGCTTTGAAGGAAAGGGAATTAATTAATTACAAAAATTAATTACAAGAAAAGTGACTGAATAAAAGTTACTTGGAAACATTTAAAACCCTTTCTCAATCTGAGCTTGGAACCTGTGCCATCATAAAGATATCTGGCTTAGTGTTAGAAGACAAAACCTGATTTTCTGTACTCCCTAAAGAGCAGGGCAGCAGCAGGAGCAGGCAGGGGAGCTCCTGCACAGCTCTGCTGTTGCCTGGCACAGAAACAACTCAAATAATGGCAGGGCTGTAACCAGGACCAAACCCAGGAAGGGCACAAGAATCTGCTCAGAAAACTCAGGAAAAATAAACTGCAGCTGACAGGATGAAACAAAGTCATCAAATCATCTTCCTGGTTTTATATACAAGGAATTTCAAGTTTTTAAAGGCACAAATAGCACCTCTGTAGGTGCTAAATTCTGGCTGTGTTTAGCTGCCATCATCTTCTCAAGCTCCCCCTCCAGAGCACATTTTGCCAGGAATGAGGGGATTAATTCAGCTGCCACCTTGCATCACACACAGCACAAGGTCCAACACCAGATTTACATTAGAAATGCAGCTTTAGATTGACAGGAAAAACTCTTCCAGCACTCAGCAGCCGTTTGGTGACAGAGCCACTCAGCAGATGGGGCTCAGGTGGCTGAAGCAGGAACATTTTCAGTGTTCAGGGCCACCCTGAGGAGAGACACAAACCCACACGAGCCTGGGCCAGCCCACCTTGGCCCCTCACAACTAAATTCATCACAGAGAGGTCAGCACTGCCTGCTCCACACAAACTGCAGAGGCTGAGGGACAAAATTCCTGTCCCCAGGGCACAGGTCAGCCAGGAGTTAAACAGCTTCTCTTAGGGAAGGAACCTCTGCAAGGCTCTCCTGGCTCACAAACACATTCCCTGGGGCAGCAGCAGCAGAGGAAAAAGAGGTTTAGTCTGTAGGCAAAGCCTCCACCACCAAACTCATCAGCTGCTTTCTCCTGACATGCACAGCTGCTCCTGTAGCCACTGCCAACACCAGTGGGCTGATGAACAAACACAAAAATGGGATAGAAAATGGTACTAAATGACCTTAGAGGCACTACACCAATACTTGTAGCATGCACCTAATTCAAACAAGAATGATGGACTGGGCTGAATCATGCAGATTAAAAAAAAGGACTCAGGTCTAGAAAAATGTCCATAATCTGGCCAGCCAAGTTTCAGTTCCACTCCCCAGAACAAAAACAGGGATACACCTCTTTGACTGTAAATGCAGCAAAATGCAGAAACAAATCTGATCACCTTTTAGTGCAGAAACCCCTGAAGCCAGTCAGTGCACTGAGCTGGGAAGAAGTCTGAAAAAATTCAATGTATCAATTGTGTCTTCAGCATTTTGGGGTTCAAGCCACCCCTGTGGAGTGTAAACTCCAAACACGACTCTTGGAGCCACACTTCAGTGCACATTTCACATTCACAGCTTCCTTTTTGACTCCATGAACACACAAATCTCCATCAAACACTGATCCAGGAATGAGATGATACTTTAGTCCTAGGAATTAATGCAAACTGGACTGTCTGAAGTTCCCTTTTGCATTTGAGGAGCCTGCAAGTAAGATGCAAAAGCACTATAACCCTAACTCTAAGACAATAACACCCTCCTAAAAAAGTTTTAAAAAATCTATGGCCACAATATTCTTGAATCTTGATACTGGCAAAGTGAATATTTTATTTTCATTCACAGCTGCACATGTACATGTGCATGTTCAGCACTTTTTCCTTCAACACGCTTAAATTCAGCTACCAATTTAGTGCCAGATTTAACTGGGTCTGTCTTGCATTGAGCTGAACTGACTCAGAATTTAAACACGTTAGAAAATGCCACTTGTCAGGGAAGGTTGGAGAATCAGCCTCAAAATAAATAACCATCCCCAAGAATATTATGGCTTGGAAGAATTTCAAGAGCTCGAGTCCCTGATGTTTGCAAAATGGAAAGGCCTTTGGAAATGCACTCGCATCAACACTTTCACCTATTTTGAATAAAAAATATATAGTATTTATAAAATAAAGAGAGCAGGCCAAAGAAGATTGGCCAGAATCACTCTGTAAAATTGTTCTGTTAACTCTGTAACTTAAACTTCTAAAGCCTTGGGACATCTGGACAGCAGGATTCCTGGAGAAGCACTCTAGAATGCAGATTCCCATCAGACAATACTTCAGGATGTTTCCTCATCTTGAAGATCCACCTGTTTTCTGCCCCTCAAAACTGAAGTCCTTGCCAAGAGAAGGGATGTTGGCTCCTGAGAGGGAAGCTGAAATTTAAAGAAATACAAATGTGCAACCATAGCACTGCTGTTATGAGGGAGTGAGGGTTGATCTGGGCTTTGGGAGTCGTTTTAAAGCCATGAAGAACAACAGCAAAATGCTGATTTTGCCTGCCCTGGTGGGATTGCAGGATGCAGCCCTCATTGCTGACAGAAAAACACTCTGGGGTTTTTTCCTTAGTGGAACAAGGTGGACTCCTACAACGTGCCAGAAGCCCACTGATAGCAGTGTGGAGGCCCAGGGGAGCCAGGCAGGAATGGCAGAGCTCTGCCACACCACAGTTATTGACAGCCTCGGAACTGGGAGGGGCAAACCCCACCTGGCAATTCCAGCTCCTGCCAGTGGGACAGCAGAGGATGCTCCTGGAATCTCAGCCAGTGACATTCCCCTGGACAAGGACACTGTGTCCTCACTGCCTGCAGCTCCTGGGGCAGGATGTGTGTGGGGCATCTCCCCTGTCCTCCAAGTCAGAACAGGATGCAGAGCAGGGAATGTTCTGGAAGCAGCACCTGCCCCAGCTGGTGTCAGACCCACCTTTTCCAGGGGGAGAGAAAGCCTGGGGAAGAGTGACAGCTGATGTGGCATTACAAGGCACTTCCTTGTATTCCCAGCTGCAGCTTGGCTGTGCTCAGCTCACTTTAACACTGCACCTGCCCCTTCCCACAGCTCCCACGGATCCCAGAATTCCCATCTTGTCACTGTCCAAGCAGTGCAAGGGTTGTTCCTGCCATGTTTTCCAGAGGAGCTGCAGGGCTGCTGTCCTCCCCTTCACAGAGTGCTGGTGGCTCTGGTGTCACCTGTGCCAGCACCCAGCCCAGGGCCACTGAGAGCCTCTGCTTCCTTTCAGGACCCCTTGAACATGGGATTTCTGGGCAAGCTGGAGAAATATTTTTCTGCTAAAGCCCAAACCTGTTGGACATCACCTCCCCACTCCCTGCAGAGCAGCGGTTTTGAAGGAAACAGAGAAAGGAACACTGACCTTTCTGATCCAGCTTTACATCACTGTGTTTTCACACTGCTATGTCTCCCTTTCTATGGCAAGGGATGAGGCTTCACCAGAACCTGGGAAAACCAAAGCAGTTAGAGGTAAGTAAATCTGGTTTTATCACTGAGAATACATTTTTCACTGAGCATGGGATTGTGTTTTTAAGGATAATTACAAACAAAAATAGACAACCACTTGTCAGAGAGAACTGAGCAGCTGTTTCTAACTGACATTTCTCTATTATTGGCTTTATTTATTTCATAACCAAGCCACAAGCTTTAAAGCCACAAAGACAAATGAAGGTCTTGCAGTTTTCATGGAGCATTTCAGGTCTTTCTGGTTAGACATTTTTACTGGTTTACCTCTGTTGTGTAAGAGAGAATCTGAATATTTCAGTTGAAAGGACCCACAATGATCATCCAGTTCAACTGCCTGGAAATGCCAGTTATTTCATAAGCACTATAAATTGGGAGACTTCATATCAACTCCAGACCATAATCTGGGGTCTGATCGAGCCAAAAATCACCTCACTGTCACCGTTTTCATATGGAAGAATTAATTATTTATTCAGATAATTTAAAGTTTGTAAAAAATTGGAAGAAGCTCTGACTCATTCCTAGAGGAGTTATTTTAAGCATCATTAAAAATTCACAGGAATGCCATAGTTTGCTATTTTTAAAGGCAATCTTGTTGGTTTTAAAACTCATTTGTATTACCTTGTGTAAGTACCAAAATGTATAGAACCAACCAGGGAGAGCAGATAAATTTAGTCTGGTAATAAAGCTGGACAAAGTATAAAGCAGCTTCCTAAATGTATCCCTGCACTCAGGGGTTTGCATGCCCGTTTTCACACATTCTCAGAGGATAAATACACTTTGAAAAATCTAAATATTCTCCTTCTTGCAGGCACCACTTTATGTCCCAAATAACTGTGCTGCATGCAGCAGCATTTACATGTAAATACTCTCAGTTTGTGGCAACTTCAGTTTCTCTAACCCTTGAAACACCCTCTAAATTCATTCACTTGCAAGTAGGAAGTTGCTAAAAAAAAAAAAGAAATAATTGTTTCCAAAGCAGAACTTACTTTTAGTCTGTGCTCCTTAATCAAGTCAGAGCTTCCCAGAGACTTAACCAACACAGTTTTTAAAATTTGATTAGCTCTTATAATTCAGCTATTGGCCACTGTAGGTCATGACAATTAATTTCACTCATTTCCTTACCCTGAGGCTCTTCATCTATTCCATCCTCTTCCCACTGCTCCTCATTTGTCAGGAGAGGGTTCCGAGCTTCACTCAAGGCTCTCATTGGGAAAAAATGTCCATCCCCCTGGCTGCATGGAAAAGGGCAGAGAGGGAACTGCAAAAGCAGCAAAGTTCTAAAAGATGATAATTTCTCTACATTTTTTCTGCAAAGTTTTCTGTTGCCAGTATTTCCCAGGTTTACTTAAAATCCTCCTTAAGCTTGGAAAAGTACCATGTTTAGATTTCATTTTGGTTCTCAATTTTTTTCCAGGTCTCTGGAGTGCAGAAGTTGAAACTTGTGGCCTGGAATTAGGTAATTTTTAGCAGAAGGTAAATGTGCTAATTTGATCAAGTAATTTGAATACAGAAAAAAAACCCTGGAAAAATTAACTTGTGGGCAGTTAGAAGTGACAGTGGAACTAAGGATAACATTTATGAAAAAGAAAGAACTAATAGGCATAAATTTTATCAATTTATTCCACAGATTCTTCAGGGCAGAAATCTCACCTGTGTTTGACTGACACCCAATAGAAAATGGCCCCAATTTTACTGAAAGACACATAAAAACCCCACTTTCCTGTGACCTGCACCTGTACACAAAGTGTGAAAAACTGTAATTGTATCAGCTTTTAGCAGGGTTACTTACCTAGAGGCAATAGGCAGCAACCAGAGCTTTTTTTCTTCCCCAAACACTTGCTGGAGATTCTTCACAAAGCCAAGATTGAATCCATTTTTATCTGGGCCATTTTGAAACACTGGAGCTGAGAAAGCCTCTGCAAACAGAGGCAATTTCAGTGGAAAAAAAAATTAAAATCAATGCCAAACACTCTGAAACAGGGTTGTGCATCTTGTAGCCATCTAAAGACAATGTGATTTAACAGATTATAGAGATACAGCACTAAAAAGTTTCAAAAGAATGGCTTTTCCATTTTGCAAAGCCTGTAAAGACTTTCCAACTGAAGGCAGGAATTTGTTCATGCAACTGAACCTAGAGAACAGTCAAACCAACACACAAAGGGTTGTTTCATCCAGAGAATGGAATTAAAAGATCCTCTGTGGGACTTGATGAAATTCAGAAGGTCAAAGTTTCTAGGTAAAAAACTCTGCAGAATGAAGGAGGTTGGTGTTCATTGCATATTCCAGAAGTGGCACTGCAGATTTAAATCACCTCATTCATGAATGTTATAATGAACAAGCACTGGGGACAAACAAATGCAAATAAACTCTGGGTTCTGGTGAGGCATAAAATTAAGAAAAGAGAGGAGACAAGAACCTTGAGTGCCCTAGGAACAGTTTGATCTCCCTCCTCAGCTGCTGCACAGGTCTGATGTTTTGGGATAGATGAGCTTCAGTGCCCCATGAAATGACTTTTGAAGTAAATAACTTGATAAAATCAGAATATTTGCTCACTCTTGATAGTGTCTGTTTTGTTACAAAACTTTATCCCAAAAGCTATGAAAGTTGAACATTTATCTGAGGAAAGGCAAAGAAATTTTGACCAAATTATGCTATTTTAGGTGATAATTTCTTTGGTTTTTACAGTCACAGCTTCTTTGTCTTTATCAATAAAGATGGACACTGTGTTTCCCAAGCTCACCAAGCTGGTTGGGAGGCACCCCAGCACAGGAGCATAACAAACCATTATTCCTGAAAAGCTGCACTCATTTCACAGCAAATGTAGTTTTACATATGCATAACACTTATAATTGGACTGCTACACCTTAAGGCTCTGGTTTCCCTAACAAAGCTTTTGTCACACCAGCTAATAAATGCACCTCGTTTGCAGTGACAAATTTCTGCAGCTTGTACCAAGATCTTAAATCTTCGTCCCCTCATAAACCAGCAGGAATCTACAGAAATAGAACAAATGCCTTTTTTCTTCTCTTTTTTTTTTCTTCTTACAGCACTTTTGGTGTGTTTTCCTAGAAGGAACAGGCAGAAGAGCCTTACCTAGAGTGGATCTGTTCCTGCTGACGAGCCAGCAGTGGTAGCCAAACAGAAACATGAGGCTTACAAAGAACATGATTGCCACGAAGAGAAGGAAAAGGATGTGAAATTTGGAACGTCCATTGGTCAGCTCACCCTGGAAAGGAAAGCAACACAGAACAAGTGACAGGAACAAATTAAATATGGAAATTCTTTGTACTTTAGAAATATAATTCTAAAACTCCTATTGGGAGTTCTCAAACTTTTACAGACAAAAAAGTCAATCTTACTCTAAAAAGCAAAAAGACACAAAGAAATGAATGTGGTTCATTTCCCCTCCTGTACCTCAGCACCAAGAGTGGGGGGTGTTATTAACTCCTGGTATGGCTCAGAGCCAGCACAGGTGCCCAGGTGGGCATGAGGAACACCCTGTGCCCATGGGAAATGAGCAGGCAGGAGCTCTGGAAGCTCTGTTTAAATTCTGCTGAGTTTCCTGTGCATACATTAAAATTCTGCACCTTACTAAAGGTAAGCCCAGAGAAACCTGCCCTCCACATCTGCAGCTATCAGGGAGTGTTAGAACTGAGCACAGATGGATGGGGACAGTTTAAAAGCCAAGTGGGACCTCCCAAGCAGAAGAAAGGCTCCTTTCCCTCTACAGTAGAAGAGCCAGGTGCCAGAGGTGCCCAGCAGTGACACAGGCAGGCTCTGGGGACCTCCAGGGCTCAGGGCTGTGCCTGGCTGAGTGTGGGGAACAATTAGTGCACAGCAAAGGAGTTAAACACAAACATTCAGAGTTATTGAGCAGAGGGGACAGAAATAGAGCCCAAGGGCCAGTGCCTTACTGGAGCTATCAGCTGGCCTTGCTTGCATAGAAACCATCAACAGTAACTACATAAAAGCCTCCTTTGGGTCAGTCAGTTTTTAAATGGAAAAAAGGAGGCCTATGGGGGTTAGAAAATGAACAAGGTTGTTAGACCTGCTTTTTTCTTTTCTGTCAATATGTAACAAATCATTGCCAGCATCTTACACATCAATGCCAAACTTTCCAAGGGACACCCATGCAAACACAAAGACAGGCAAGGGATAGAACTTCTCTGCCAGAAGATAATCTAGTCTGAAATTCCTGAAGCCTACTTGCTTCGTACTTCGTGCATTTTGGACATCTAACAGGAGGTGAGCTCCCAAAGGGCCCAGGAAACACCTCCCAGGAAAATGCAGCCCCTCCACTGCCTGAGAGCAACAAAGCACCGAGAGTCACTAAAGCCCACGAGACTGACAGGAGATGAAAAAGTAACCGGATTTCGTGACTTACTGTCCAATACTTAATGAAATACTTGAAGACTGTTGCAGCAATATACAAGCAATACAACAAAGAATAGGCTAAGAACAGTAGAAAGAATTTGTAGTTAGAAAATCCAATGCAGTTATTCACCCTGGAGGACAAAAGCAAAGTTGAAATCAGGATTTGTGCAGCACACGGTGGTTGTAACACAACGAGCACGACCAGTTTTGGGGCGTTTGGAACCCCTGGATCACACAGCGGGATTTGCCAAGAAGCAGCTCCCCTTAGTGGCCGAAAGGGAACAGAGCTGATGGCTCTGCTTCCCACTCCAACCCTTCCTCGGGCCAAGCAGAAGCACGGTTCAGGTTTTTGGGATTGTTTTAAGGTTGGTACCACAGGTCAGTGGGTCACAGAGGCAGCAGCTCGCTCCTCCCGTCTGGGTCTTGTCTGCCAAGGCAACCAGAGCTGGGAGTTCTGTGCTCTTTGATTCCTTTGCAAACCTCAGGGGCCACCTCACCCCTGCCTGTTCGTTTACAAACAGCCCAATTGACCCCACACTTGGTAAGAATTCTCTGTGCACAGGACAACGCTAGAAAGGAACACGAGGATGTACAAAAACCCTAGTGGATGTTTGTGTCAGAACTCAGGTTTGGGAAATCCTCTACAATTTTGATCACTGGGAAGGTTCAGGTAGGGAAATGTTTGTGTTGTTTCTGAATTCTTAAATCTTCCTTTTTTTTTTTTTTTTTAAAAAAAAGGAGGAATTTAAGAAATTTAGTGGCAGCAATTCTGAAAGGTGTAAAGCTCAATTATTCCATGCAGTTTTCTGCACAGACTGTCTCTGACCAGCATCAGTTCAGAAACAATCCATGTGCAAATGTTGTTATTGGAAGCACCCCAAGTGCAGCTGAAACTCTGAGAGAGCCCAAAGGAAAGGCTAAGCTGGGGCTCCTTTCAAATTTGAATAGTAGTTAATAAATGAATTAGCAGTTGGGGTTTAAATTTTATCAATATAATAGCATTTTTACACATGGGTTATGGAGCAAACATGAATGATTTGTTAAAATTTCATTTCAGGCAATTCAAAGTGCAATTATTTTATAAGTTTGCCAAACTAAAGAGATGGATAGCCTAAAATGTGAGAGGCATACAGAAATATATCTAAGTAGCCTTTCCTTTCAGAAAACCACAAACCAGTAGCTATGACATACCATGGACAGTGATGATCCATTTTTAGCACACACCTGCAAAAGGACAAAAAGAAAAATGGAAGATTTTTAATTGGTACTTCATTACCAACTGCAGACCAACAGCAATACATCGATTTTTGTGAGGTTTCTACACAATAGACACTCAAAATGATGCTGTCTCAGTTTTTTAAGGAAGATATAATTTTAAGATGTAACATTTCTTAGTGTTTGAAGACAACTAAAGTCCTTGGTCTTTGTGTAGATAAAGAGACACGAGAATGATTTGTGCCCTAGAGCCCTGCTGGCTGCAGCTGGAACAGAGACCCTGGGGAACCTTTTTGTGTAAAAAGACACATGAAGGAGCAGCCCACTCACAGAACCTTGTGGTGACTGCACTTGAGTGAAGGGCAACCCATGACTTACATGGCACAAACAGAGCAGTGGTGACAACGATCAGGTTTGATCAGCTGGCATCTGTCACAGAACCGGATCCCTGGAATTAGAGACAAATTAACACAAAACAATGGAAAAGTGCTCTTTTTTCATGTGTTAGTTGGTACTGTGCTCATTTCCTAACTATTCTTTTTCTTTCCTCTATCACTTCAGCAGGTGACCTGGTGTTTGCTGCCAGGTCACAATCAGGTAAGCAACACTGATGGAGACTTTGCAGATAGGGCAACAATCAGTGAAAGCATAAAATCATAGAACCATGGAATGGTGTGGGTTGGCAGGGACTCTAAAGTTCCTCTTGTTCCACCCCCTGACATGAACAGGGACACCTCCCACTATCCCAGGCTGCTCCAAGCCCTGTCCAACCTGGCCTTGGGCACTTCCAGGGATCCAGGGGCAGCCACAGCTGCTCTGGGAACCTGTGCCAGGGCCTCACCACCCTCACAGGAGAGGATTCCTTCCTAACATCTATCCCAAACCTACTCTAACCCATACAGCCAAGCTCAAAGTGACAAACCAAAGCTGCACACCTGCATCCACATTTACTCAGACTACCTACACTTCATTTTGATAATTCCCTATTTATTCCAGTTCTCTGGAATTCTTTGGCCTGCCTGACAGAAACGAGCAGGTCAGAACCTCCAATGTGAACATAGATTTCTTTAAGCTGTGAAGGGAGTGCAGCAGGAATTTAATCACTGAACACAGTCCAGAAAACTGGTCACAGAAGTATGTCCTGCATCTCTAAGCCAGACTCTGTTTTGAGTAAAAATAATGACAGATTTCTAAATACAGACAGCACATGTGGACTTTTGGACTGTAAGTCCAGGGGGTAACATCTTGGTTCTCAAAGGCAGCACCTGGCACTGCACTGAATTAGAGGGTTCAAGGCTTTTTTGGTTTTCCCTAAGAACAGGAGTAGAGCAGGAGTCAGTGGGTGCCTGGGAATGCTGTTGGTGAGCAGGATCCTCTGAGTGCCAGCCCGTGCTGTGTGTGTGGATTTGGGGCCAGGGGCTCTGTGCTGAGCTGACCTCCATTGCCTGTCCTCGTGTACACCGGCAGCTTCCGGGCGATCTCGGCCAGGATTTGCCGCTGCACCTCCGGCCTCTCCTCGTTCTCATAGCGCTCCTGGTCAGCGTAGGACATGTGGAACTGCAACCAGAACACACCGCGGCAGCAGTCAGAGAGCACTGCAACACGGGGGGAGCACTGCAACACGGGGGGAGCACTGCAACACGGGGGGAGCACTGCAACACGGGGGGAGCACTGCAACACGGGGGAGTTTGGAAACGTTTTTCTCCTGCTCCTGAGATTAATGCAGTGGGAAAATGTGGTTGTTAGGGGGATAAAGTTAGGTAGTGAGTGCTGGAGAGCCAGAATACTGAGAGACACATCAATAAGAAATGAAAAAGTGAAATTAAGGCTCATAAAACAACTTACTAGAATTGCTCCTGAGATGAATACCATTACTTACCTTTATAACACATTCAGCTCCTCTCTAGTAAGCAAGAGTGTAGCCGTGGAAAGGGGTTTTAACCCTTGAAGTGCAGTGGAAATAAGATGCACAGCATTTTATTGTCTCCTTTTTTCTATCATGAAAGGCGACCATGTAGCTGTGCATCTCATTTCTGCCGCACTTAAAGGGTTAAAACGTTAAAACCCCTTTCCACGGCTACACAAGAGCCTTTGTATTTTTAAATTTTTAGAACTGAGATTAGCTATTATTTATGAATTTACATTTTTGTAATCAGGATCAGAGCAAGGCTGTGTATATTTGGAGTGCCACACAAATATTGACCTCATTCTGTTGCCTCGAACCGAGTGTTTTATTTCATACAGAGGTAAAACGAAATGTGAAAAACAAATCTACTAAATCCAAGCACCATGACAAAGTAAGTATTTGGTTGAAAATAATTAAAACACATTTGCCTCCGACTCTCCTCTCCAGATCAACTAGACTAAAGGATTTTTGAGTTCTCTTTAACATCTCTACTTTTGTTTTGCAAGGAATGAAAGGTGTTGGCTCTCTTACCTTTTTGCCTGGTTGTATTGGGAGAGTGAAAACAGACTTCCAATATGTCCACACAAAGAGCACAAAGAGAATATGGAATACTACAAGATAGGCCACTAAAAACAAAATGAGAAAAATAAATAAACAGAAACAGAGTAATGAGTTCTTAAGTAAAGATTTCATCCACGATGGGCATAATTCAATTTTTTTACAACAATGTCAAAAAAGAAAAAAGAAAGGAAAAGACAGATGTGCATCCAGTGCCACCCATTATTGCAGTCCAGCTAAACCTCATGGCTCAGGGGTACCAATCTCAGAGCCTCCCCTGCTCCACCAGACCCCATTCTGTGGGTGAGGAAGATGCAGCTGTCAGAGAATTGTCCCACAGGGCAGGTGACAACCCCATATCCCTGGGAATGACAGGATTCCCATCTCTTCCCCACATCCCAGGCACAAGCCCAGCAGTGTGGCTGGTGATGAGCAGTGTAAAGGTGAATTTTGCAATGCTCCAGCACCTCCAGTATTGGGATTGAGTTGCTACTGAAAGCAAAGTGGGAAGCAGAGTGTGCACTGCCCACTCCTGCCCCACGTTCTTCTTGTGAGAGAGAAATAATATGAGCTTTACATCACCAGAAAAAGACACATTTCTTATTAAACATTTTTTACGTTTGCCACAGTTGATACAATAAATCAGGAAAACTTCCCTCAAATTGAGCAAAATAGGGCTTGTGATTTCTGAGGAAGAATTGCAAACCTTATCATGTGAAACCAGCCCGTGTCAGAGCAGTCTTAGTTCAACCTGCAAACCTGATTCCAGAGCCTTTGGCATGGACAGGGAGCCAAAGGAGGCGTCCTTCAGCTGCACAGGCTATTTGCCATTTCTTTAACACTCAACTCATTAAGACATGATCAAACAATCTCGTTTCCCCCACTTCATTTAAGCTTCAAATTCTAGAAATAAGATTAAAATAACCACTAGGAAAAATTCACTAGGAAAATTCAAACACTTCTTAATTGTGTCAAAATACTTCTTTTCCTGTGTGAAAATTGGTAAAAAAGGCCAAATGCATCAGTGAGACTTTCAAATGAGATGGCAAATGATGGGACACATCTCATAAGGATGTGATGGACTGTGGGAAGGAGCTGTGAATCACAACTAAGTCATTCTCATGCTCCAAGCTGGTTTGAGATGTTATCCTTACACTACAGGTGGAGCTGAGCCATTTTTAATTAATCTGGAAGGAGATCAATCTTGCAACAGCTTTAATTTTGTTGATCAGCAGCACATTAGAGGAAGGTGACCTGGAGATGCACTGACAGATTAGGCAACTATTAACTTTCTTCTGCTGAGCAGTCAGTGACATCCTGCTTTCTGCAGTTTCTCTGTAGCAATTTCAAACATTAGAGCTGCTCTATAGGGGAAAGAGAATTTACTGAATGCAGCAATCTGGAGGATCTTTAAATGTCAGCTGGCACTGTTCTTCATGGAACAGCTTACACTACACCTACTTCTGTCCTTCATAACCCCTGAAGAAGAAAGCCACCAAGAGAACACCTGGATTAGCCAAAAGCATCCAAAGCACCTCCAGGAAAGAAGGGGGAGAATATTAAAATAGCCACTGACTCCTTATTCTTAGAACAGGGCCATTACCTCCACCAGCACACTGGTCTGAAGAGTGCCATTGAGCAATCCTACTGTGTTGTGACTCGGGATCTGTTAGTGGGCAGCAGCACTGAGAGGAAAAGCTTGTCAAAAATAGCTTTAAGTGAGAGATCAAACGGAACAGTGAAAAAAGCCAGGTGGGCTGCAGATGGGAACTCGTATTTTCTGTTTGGCTTGTAAAATCAGCTCTAGAAATGTGAAAGGGAAAGGGAGAAGAGGCGTGTGGGTGTGCACAGACACACACAGCTTTTCCTGAAAGAGTCAGAGGGATCAAAGCTTTTCCATGTTCTGCCCAGACTGTGGCTAAAATGAACATTTCCCAATGCACCCAGAAGGTGCAGCACACTGAGTACCTCAGGAGGGTGCAACTACAGGAAAGAAATACTGAAAGAGGATGTACCTTTAAAAAAATGACCACAAATTATTCTGACATTTCAGCCAGAACATTTGTGAGTCCTTTTACACAAGGGTTGAATGGCAAATAATAAATTATCACACATACCTTTCTCCACAGGGTTGCTCACAGTCACTGGAAAAGAAAAACAGAAACAAAAAAAACATGTGTCCAGAGAGGAAATATGAATCCCAGAGAAGTTTGAGACAATTATGTGAAATACAGCCATTTTAGGAAAAATGTTCAAATTCAAGAGGCAAAGAGAGAACCCACAGTTCAGCATCAAACCAAAAGCATCTGTAACAACTCCTCACTCACGCACACACCCACAGCAAGATGTTCAGTCACTGTTACTTGTGCTCTGCCTTCCCTGTTATAAAATATATCCTGTATATTTTGCATTAGAAATATGACAAAAGCAATCCTCTGGTGACAGTGAGGAGATCACCAGGGCTCCAAGCTGCACCTCAAGGCATTCACCACAAACTCACAGCTGCTCTCTATTGGTCTCCAGCTGGTCTTGACCCTCTGCTGTAAGCACTGGCCCAAAGCATTTCTGCATCAGCAGGATTAAAAAGTTATAAATTTCTCAGCTTTGGCCAAGTCAGCAACTGCAATGACTTCATTGTTTTTACACTTCCTACCAGCAGAAATTTTACAACCCCTCCTTACTTCACCATAATGAGAGAAAAGCCCCTACTAACAGAAGGTCTTTGAGTAACCAGCAAAAGATGCATTGTTCAATGCCTTCTTGTAGTGACTATTTGAAAATCCATCCATTATTTTAAAAGCCAACATCCAAGTTTAACAGAAGAGACAAGGACAGCTTTCTTGAACTGAAAACAGAGAGTTCTGTGATATTTTCATAGAGCATTGCTTGGAAGACAAAGCTCTGTGACAGCGATCTACAGCAATGTAGGTGAAAAAAGAAAGTGAATCTTTGCTGTGTCTCAGCCCACTCAATTTCAGGTAAACAAGACTGTTAGAAAACCTTTAATTTTTCCTTTAGTTTGCTGCCAATCAAGCTATGATGAGCTTTTCACAAACACTTCCTGGCTCCCTCCTGACCACACCTGCAGCAGGGCCTTGCTAAGGATTTTACCTGAGAAAAGAGCACAAGCACAGATGATATAAAAGGTTCTGTGGCAGGATCATTGTTGGCACTGTGGCAGCAACCACCAGCCAAACCAGAACTGAGGCCTCCTCCTGTGACTCACAGGCCACCCCAGGCACTGAGAGCTCAAACCCAGCATCAGGAGACACCTCCCAGACATCACCCCCACAGCACTTCCAGTGCTCAGCACAGCTGAAAATGCAAATCGAGATTCCAGACAAAGCATTCGCTATTTACAGGCTCACAGCAGCTGAGAAGAGGCAGCCAGCTCAGCAAGCCTTGCTGTGTTAGAAATGTGGAGGGAGACAATGTCCTGGTTGGCAAGTAACAGCACAGGCCAACAGTTCATGCTCAAATCCTGAAATAATCCAGAGATTTCAACTTCAGCATAGATAAACTCCTCCACACACAAATAAAAAAGATGAGAGAGAAATGGGGCAAAAAAATCAGGTGGGTGTGGGGAAATGAATGATTTTAAGTTGTGATTCCAGGCAGTGAGCTGAGCTCCTGCCAGCTGAAGCAGCACTTGCAGAGCAGCACAGCCCTGATCCAAACCTCACTCAAATCACCTGAGTCTCCTCTAGCAGCTGCACTGAGAGCTGGGATCAGCCTGAGTTCAGTATTACTGAAGTTGCACAGCACATTTCAAAAGACTGACAGTGTCTCAGGAAAACACTCCACATTTTTTGTCACATGTTCTAATGACAGTTGCATGCACCTCAGAGATATCATCCTATGTGAATTCTTGAAAGGAACAGCCCACAGTCTCAGAGATGGGAAAAATGTGATGAAGTGTTTGGGGGCTTTGCCAAGCTGCTGATTAAAACAGACCAAAGAGGCTGCATTTCATCCCAGTTCCCATCGAGAAAAAATATCAGATCTCACTGCACTGCCAACCCTAACAAACACCTGATTTACGTTTGCTGTGCAGCCCCAGGAACATCTCAAACGATCCTTTCTGGGACCTCTGGTTTCATTTATCTGCCTTACTCTGTCCTGAGGAGTCACATCTCCCCCTCACAATTTCACAAATCCAAGCTTCCAGATCTCTCCACCAGACCAGGCAACTCTTTGTTTTTTTCTAGTAGCACGCTAAGCCAGAAATAACAAACATCAGAAAGTTTGCAACTTACTATACAGTTAAATTGCTACATTAAATGTACAATTACTAGCCAGCAAAAAACTTCTTCTTCTGAAATGTAGTGGTTTTGTGCTACTGTAACAGCTCCACACCAGAGTGTGATTCCATGTAACCTATTTCTTGTCTTCTCGGAATAGAAAACACAAAACGATTGTAAGGCAGGGCACAGACTGACGTTTGTGTCTGTTTAGCTCATAAATCACATCTGGACGTTATCAAATCACAACAGCACTGGCTTTCACAGAGGGATCGCTCTCCCAGCCCTCTCAGACATCAAATCCCTGCTGACAGGGACTCACAAAACGAGGGCTCATGACTAACAAACAGCACCCACAGCCCGCACCCAGCCCCGCCGGGGCACAAACCCTGTGGGAAACAGGGCAGCACCCCTAAACCCCTCATTAATTCCGAAAAGGACTCGAGTCGTACTCAAGTGCTTCTCCCTGTGCCGGGATCGGAGTGGGGACACCGCGGGCACCTGGGCGGGCGCGGGGCCCCCTCACACCGCGGACACGGGAGGAGGAGGAGGAGGAGGAGAACGAGGAGGAAGTGGAGAAGGTGAGGAACAGGACGAGGAGGGAAGGAGGAAGAGGAGAAGGAGGAAGAGGAGAAGGAGACGGGGAACGGTCCGAAGCCCCCGGCCCGCCGCGCCCCCCACCCGCCGCTCCGCGGGGGCCCCGGCAGCTCCGAGGCGCGGCCCGGGGCAGGCGGGCAGGCGTGGCTGGGCGCGGGCGGGCGCTCACCGAGGCAGAGCTCGCAGACGTATCCGTAGTAGGACCAGAGCAGCAGCAGCGCGATGAGCAGCACGGGCAGCCAGGCGAAGGCGCGGCGGCAGCAGCGCAGCCCCCGCCACAGCGCCATCCCGCCGCCCTCAGCTCCGCGCATCGGCGCGCGGCTGCGCGGGCTGGGCCGGCCCGGGCCCGGCGCGCTCGGCGCTCGGCTGAGCGGCCTGCACGCAGCGGCGCCCCCTGGCGGGCCGGGTCCCGCCTGAGCGACTTCACTCCCAAGCCGCTTTTCCCTCAGAATCCGCCCCATTCCCGGCTCCGAGCTGCTGGTGAGGGCAGGGAGGGGTTATAAATGAGAAACCAAAGTCTCGGTATTTAACGACATTTAGATTGCTTTAGTTGATACAGACGGAGCAAGCAGCGCTGGGGAACGTGAGGGGTTACTGCCCACTCCACGCTCCATCGAACCTTGGTTTGCAGCCACTTCTTATGCTATGGTCTCTCGTTGTGATTAATAATTTTTGATTTTTTGCTGTCATAATTTTGCCAGGTAAGCAGTGGTGGTCGAATAAACATCCGTATTGAAATTCACAAAGTCTCTAGGGATAGTCAGTCACAGATAACCATCTGGTCTTTGTAGATAACCACCAGAGAAGTTCTGGAAGTCTGGTCCTTGAGATAGGCACCATTGATCAGACAAAGGCAGGAAGGACTGTGGGGAAGTCTGATTTTGCAAGCTGGTAGTAGATACAACTTCTTTGGAAAACATAATATTCATAACAAGGTGATTTAAACCAGAATGATTTAATCATGTATTTTCCTTTATCTAGTGTCCATGCTTCACTTCAGACCTTAGCCTTGTGGTTTATACAGACGCCAGGAGTTTCGTGATTAACAGGAATCTTTTGTCAATGATCACAGAGGTGATGCTGCCCCTCAGCGCCTCTGAGGGGAAGGCTCGGGGAGCTGCGGCTCCGCAGCCTCGGGAGGAGGCTTTCATTAATGATAAAAGTCTAAAAGGAGGTGTCCGAGGATGCACCAAGCTCTGCTCCGGGGGCCCAGCCATGGCACCAGGGCAGGAACTGGTGCTCGGGAAGTTTCAGCTGGACACGAGGAAAACTTCCCTGGGCAGTGCCCAGCTCTGAACAGAGAGACCAGAGAGGATCTGGAGTCTCCTCCCTGGGGATATTTCGGAGCTGTCTGGACACAATGCTGTGCCCTGTGCCCTGGGATGGCTCTGCTGGAGCAGGGAGGTGGCACCAGATGGACCCATCCTGGTCCCTCCCATCCTGACCCATCCTGGGATCTTGTAGCTCTGTCCTGTCCTCTGCACAGACAAGAGCTTGGCATTGCTCTCCAATCTCCAATTCCCTCAGCACACACCTAGGACTATGTAAATATATATATATGTACACACAAACACACATCTACAAGTATATATATATATATATATATATATGAATATATATGTAATACTCACTTATTACTACAGAATATCCATGGGAGGATCAGATTCCACACAACTCGTGGAACAAAAGGAGTGCCCTCTCCGACATGGCATTTATTGTACAAAAAAGAAAACAAAAAGAACTCTCCCGCCCCAGACTGCTCCACAATCCCCTCTGAATTCTGGTAGACTCTCCTCGTTCCCACTCTCAGTGATTTGAGTTGCAGCTCCAGGTAATTAACTCCACTTTATCATGTCTGGTAAGGAAATTAGTTTTCTCATCAAGAGAATTACTTGTCTGACAGAATGTTCTTCTGACAAAGCCCTGGTGTAATTTGTGACACTTTCTGGTCACCTCTTTGTTCAGCAAGGTTTTTTTCCCCTCAAAATTTGTTCTAAAACTTCCCTTTTTTGGATCACACTCAGAGCTGTGCTGCCTCTACCAACCCTTTTCTCTTTTTGGGTACAGACACCACATTTTCCATTCTCCTGCCCAGATCAACCAATGAAGACATCACCCACAAATCCTCAGACCACACCTATAATTCCGTATTTAGTTCTCTCAATATTTTAAGATTAATTGATCTACAGCCTTTTTTTCGACAAAAAAATCTGTTCACTACTGAGGTGACAGCTGTCTTAACCTCTTCTCTACCCTGCTCAGGCTATACAATCAGTATTATCCTCTTCTCCAGGCTACTAAATTCTTCCTTTATTATAAAACCTGAACTTTTTGGCACTTGTTTTAATTTTCTGTGTGTCGTTGAACTTAACCAAGATTTTGGGTAGCCCCTGCTGTGGCAAAAGTGCTTTGCAGGTAGGATAACACAGGTTGGCCTGAGCTGCATGTAACCCTAAACTAGAAATTTATATTTCTTTTTTAATATATATACACATATATGAAAAACCTCCTCCCAGGAGATTCAGGAAGGGGGTTTAGAGCACATACACTCAAAGTTTTGAGGATTTAGGAGAAGATGTGAGTGCCCCCTTGATTTCCCTCCTTCCCCCACTGTGTAAGTGCTGGGAAGGAATATTCCTGCCAGCAATATATTTTATAATCAGCAAGATTTAAAAATCTCTCTTGTGAGTTAAATCAATCCCTAAAGCAACTCACAGAATCTCCTCTCCTGAGACAGATGGGATGAACAGCACATCCATGGGACATTTTTCCTGCATGTTCCTGTAAAGCAGGAAGGCACCTTCCCAGCAGACAGCAAAGGAACATGCAAAAGTGAGCAGCCCGTGTCAGATAAAGCCTCTGCAAATACACTTAAGACTTTTTCTTTTGTTCAACAGCCAGTTTTTCTATGTGCTCTAAGGTCCACATGGATTATCCATAAAATTCTTTTGTTTCCTGGGCTTCCAGAGGAGAATTAGTTATACAAACAAGAGCTCATCTGAGGTAAGATTCCCAAATACAGCTCTTTAAAACAAAACAATCAGGGGACCTTAAATCTTGTGATTTTTAGGATGTGTTTCTGCACTTGTGGTTCTGCTGGTAGCTCCCATTTTGAAAAAGCTGGAGTGAGATATAAGTGGGATAAGGCACCTCTTGCCCTTTCCAGATATCAACACTGCAGGTGTTATTCAAAATAAATATTGAATCTAAATTAACCTTCAGCCAATTGTAAAAGTAGAGGAAAACCTCTCTGGGTGTGCAGCCTCTTTGGGCTCCAGAGAAACTCCAACAGTGGGATTATCCCAAATAACATCTCTGTCTTCAAATTTAACCCTGACCTGCTAAGACACATTTCACACAGCTTTAAACAGGGACACTTCTGCAGGGTTCAGGAAGCTGTGACTGCATCCACGGTGTAACTACATTGTTCCAAACTACTGGCACAGACTGCAGAAAAAAAACCAAATCCCAGCAGCTTTAGGGTCATTTAAATAAGGCTCATCATGGCTGGTTCTTCTCGAAAAACAAATTGTTGGGTGCTTAAAGAAAGGAAGATGGTGGTGACTCACCAGTGGCAGGGACACTCTCACGTCATCCCCAAGAGCTGAAGACCACAGCAAGGCTGACAGCAGCTGAGATGGCTCTGGCATTGGTCCAAAACAGCTAAAATAAATCAGGAAACAGTAGAAATCAGGAAAGAAATGCCAGTTTTTACAATTGCAGAAAACCGCACATGTACGAATTTCACTGAGATGCTCTTTCCTGTGAGAAAATGCTTTTTAAAAAATCTCTCATGGTAGAAAATGCTCAATTGTCTCATTCTGTTAAAAAAAACAATGGAAAATGAAGTTTGTCTTTGGAGTGCTGAATGTGAAACTGTGTCTGGATTACTGTCTGAATTTCAAAATTATATTCTGATGCAGAAAACCAAAGTTGCACAAGTTACTTCCCCACTGTTTATTTCCAAATCTTGCTTGAGCTTGTAACACGTGGGCCTTGGAACTGTGAGAAAAGTCAGCTACAACCCCTGCAAACTGCAGGGAGACAAACCTTGGGCACAGCCAACTTTTCAAACTACTCTGAAGCCAGGGCATGTAAAATAAAGGTGTGACCCAATTGTCAGACATATTTTTATCTGGGGTAGGTTACACGTGGTTTTGCTTATCAGTGACAGAGATCCAAGAAGATTTGATAATCCATGAGCTAAAATGGGAACTAAACCCAACCCTTGCTGGCTCCTGAGCTCCTGCTGACTAAAAAAAAACTTGTGAGCCCCAAGGCCGGCCCATTTTTGTCCTTTATTGTCAGAAAACACAGCAACCCTCCCTATCTCAATCCCATCTTGGCCTATCACACACTGTACTTGTAGGTAAGGAGATTAATCTAATCTAAAATGCTAAATGTTATCATATCAGATTTGGGCTTTCTATCAAAAATGCTGCACCCCAGCTCGTGCACAGGAGCCAGGCAGAGCTTCCCTAGAACATGCAGTGAGGATTGGTACTGACCTACGAGCAAGTTGTATTTTTGTTAAAAGCATTAAGAACTCTCCACTATGTGGGATAAGCCACCACATTTACACATTAACACCTTCCCAGAAACCCTAGGAAAAGCGATTTTTTGTTATTGCAGCAGGATTTTGTAGCTCTGTCCTGGGACTCCTGCATTTCACAGGAGTTTGTGCACACACACAATGGTCCTGCCATTCCTTCATCCTCATAACCCATGGATGCTACCTTGCAGTGGAGAAAGTCAATTAGGAAACTGCTAGAATGTACTCATGTAAATCAGCAGAGCTCTAATGAAGCAGGTGGAGCTCTGTTTGAACATTCAGTTTTAAGATTTCT